TCCTCAGCACCACATAAGAAAAAAGCCGGAAGTGGCGCTGTGGCTCAATTGGTAGAGCGCTAGCCTTGAGCTGAAGAGCTGAGGGACAGCGCCCAGGCCCAGAGTTCAGGCCCCACGACCGGACCCAAAAAAAAAAAAAAAAAAAAAAAACTGCAAGTGGAACTGTGGCTCAAAGTGGTAGATTGCTACACTTGAGCAAAAAGAGTTCAGGGACAGTGCCTAGAGTTCAAGCTCCATGGCTGACAGAAAGAAAGAAAGAAAGAAAGAACTCCAACCTTATAAATGATAATGTTTTCTAAAATTCACATTAAAAGAAGCATTTCTGAACTAAGAAAGAAGTGGAAGAGCTGGGCACCAGTGGTTCTTGCTTGTAATCTTAGCTACTCAGGAGGCTGAGATCTGACGATTGAGGTTTAAAGCCAGGCCAAGAAGTAAATCTGAGAGATTCTTAGCTCAAATTACTTGCAAAAAGTGTGGAAATGAAGCTCAAGTGGTAGAACTCTAGCCTTGAGTGACAAAGCCAAGGGACAAAATCCAGGCCCTGAGTTTAAGCCCCAGGATCGGCACACACACACACACACACACACACACACATACACACACGCACGCACACACACACATACAGTGAAAGAACTAGGAAAAAATATGATATTAATAAAATTGTGAAAAACTTCATTAACAGTTAAAATATGTTAGAGATGAAATGTTAAACAGGAGTTAGAACGTAAAACAGAAAACTAACATAAAAGGATAGAATGAGGGGCTGAGAAAGTAGCTCGGTGGTAGAGTATTTGCCTTGACAAAAAAAAAAAATGAAAGTGGCTCCTAAAATGTTCTAATAATTTTTAGATTATAAAAGCTAAGAGGGGGCTGGGAAGGTGGCTCAGTGGTAGAGTGCTTGCCTTGCATGCTTGGGTTCAATTCCTCAGCACCACATAAGCAAAAAGAAAAAAGCTGGAAGTGGCACTGTGGCTCAAGTGGTAGAGCGCTAGCCTTGAGCTGAAGAGCTGAGGGACAGAGCCCATGCCCAGAGTTCAGGCCCCATGACCGAACTCAAAAAAAAAAAAAAAAGCTAAGATGAAGGCTGGAGTTATGACTGAAGAAATAGAGTGAAGGCTGTGAGCAAGAAAGATGAGTGAGCTCAAGCCTTGAGTTCAAGTCCCTGTGCCAGAAAAGAAAGAAAAATAATTTAGAGAAAATAATCCCAGCTATGTTGGAGAAAGTGATAAGAAGAACTGAAATTTAAGGCCAGTTGAGGCAAAAAAGTTATTGAGACCCCCCATTTCAACTAATAAGCTGTGAGTGGTGGTTTTTACATACCATCACAACTATGTAGGAGGTATAAAATGGAGGATCACCATCTAGCTGGCCATGGCCTCTACTTAAAAAATTAATTAAGGCAAAAAGGGCTGGGGTGATGGTTCAAATGGTAGAGTGCCTACTTAGCAAGTGCAAGGTCCTGAGTTCAGACCCCAGTACCATATGCACACACACACACACATGCACACACACACACACACACACACACACATACACACACACACACACACACACACAGAGTTAAGCGAACCCCTCTCCCCAATACTTGAAATTCAAAAGGAAAAAGTATTTACTTGACCTTAAATGAGGCAAGAACAAAACCAAGCTACAACCAGACAACTGCCAATCGGAAACAGAGACCTGGGCGGAGTGGAGGTGTTGAAGTTGATGTACTCATGCCCATTGTTCACCCACAGCACCTTCAGCCCCCATGTGTAAAGAGCAGGCTCTTGGCACCCCATTATGTCCCACAGCTGTGCTGGGTTGTCCAGTTAGATCCAGTCTCCCAAAGTGGTACCCTAGGCCAGGAAGCACTCCCTCATTTTGGTGCTTGGAGTGTTTTCAATTCTACTTTCTTTTATCTTTCCCTTATTTCAGAGTGCTTTCATTATCTTTTAGTTCTTTTATGATGAAATCAGCATGTGAAAGGCAATTAAATCAAGCTACCAAGTGAATTTATTCTACCTTATCTCCTTGACATTCTTGTGGTATTACATTTGGTCATGACACTGTTTTTCACATACAGTCCCACAAGTTCATACATGCAATCCCACCTTTATCACCTTGGTTCACCGTTTATTGATCTTGAGTTGCTTAGTTACTGCTTCCTTCACTGTTACTGGTAAGGGAAATGAGAATCTACAGCTCAAGGACTGGACTGGTAGGTGAGGGTGTGGTGAAGAGGTTAACTTCAGGCAGTAAAGGCTCTTGCGTCTGCTTTTGTGACGCAGATGGATGCTAAAACTGAAATCTGGATTAGAGAAGTTGTTGTTGGTGGTGGTGGCTAGATAGGATTGTTTTTGGAAAGTCTGGGGACAATAATTGCTGCTCATAACCCCTAAACTGCTGAAAATGCTAGACCTTCACAACAGATGGATAGACTGAGTATTTGTATCTCCTCAAAGTCATATGGAAAGTGAGTCCTTTGGGAAGTAACTGGGTCATGAGGGTGGAGCTCTGAAGAATGGGATTAGTGCTTTTATGAGAAGGAGTTGTAAAGCTAGTATCTAGCTCCCTTCCTGTCATGTCAGGACAAGAACTGGGAAGTGGGCCCTGATCAGACAGTGAATCTGCCAGTGCCTTGATGTTGACTTCCTAGCCTCTGGACCCATGAGAAATATGTTTCTGTTGTCTAAGTGTCTGTCTGTGGTACTCTGTTAGAGCAGTGAAGACTGAATAAGACAGACACTGTCCCTCCCATTCCCAAACTGGAATGCTTCCAGAGGCTGTAGATGGCTCTCTTCATTTACCAACAGGTTGGGTAATTCTGGTCCCACTAATATGCTGGATCTTGGGGGCTCTTCTGAAAGCATCATTAACTGGCCAACCACCATCTAGAGTCTGAAGCCAAACACAGCATATCACTTTGTAGCTTTTCTGCAGTTCCTTGAAAATATGCCCAGCAATAATAAACCTTCATCTCTTGAGGCATCATTGAACTTTCCCACAAATGAATTGTCTGGCTCTTAAACAGTATAACCTTTTAGAATAGAGAGCACATTCAAAGCTGCAAGCACTATGCAATTCATAGTTTATCAACTCCATGTGTTTGGGCCTTCCCTTTTCTATATTATGAGGTGACTGTCCCTTTTGTTTCCAAATGGTTTAGTTTCCTTTCACTAAATTATGACCACTTTTTTACTCTACTTTGCTGGTATTACCCGTAAGTCTCTGCCATAGACCAGATGCATGTGCTCCCATTCCCAATTCTTATATTGAATCTTAACACCCAATAGGATGGCAGTAGGAAGTTGGGTCTTTGGTAGGTGATCAGGTCATGAGAGCCAAGTCCTCATTATGGGATTAGTCCCCTTATAAAAGAGACAAGAGAGCTCTCCTGTACTGCCATGTGAGGACTATGAACAGGAAGTAGGCCCACATCAGACACTGAGTAAGCTGGAAGGTTGGATGTGTCAGCCTTCAAAGAAGCAGGTTGCTCATATGCCCCCTTGACCAGTACTTTGTGTGTTTCTAAAATTTTCAGCCAAACTTTAAATTTCTTGGTCTACTTCTACAGATAGCTGGTCAAAGCTATCAGTGGATAGATCTATGCGGTCTCCAAGAGAAAAAAATATTTCTCTTTTGAGAGAGATTATTTGCAATATTTGTCCTAGTGGGAACATGTAGAAGTTATAGACTGCAGACATACTTGAGGGGCAAGCTTCTCAGCCCGGCTCCATTCCAGAGTGTGTGGTGTTTGTTCTTCAGCCTGTATGAGGAAGTTGCGCTCATTTGAGAGCCCTGAGATATGTCCACTGAGATATGTCCACCCTAGCCCTGTAGCCTTCATTACAGATGACACTTTCCCCAAATCGGGTCAAGACATCTGATGAAATATGCCTGTTGAATTTAGGTGACTGTGTAGGATATCCTTCCTTTGCTCTTCTATTTCTGCTTAGTCCTGAAATCCCACATTGCATTGCTTTAAGTCTTTGTTCTCTGCCTCTGCTGGGTCTCCCTATTTCTGTCCCATTGGTCCTTTTTCTACCTTTTGAATCCCTGGACACCTGACATCCTCTGCTTTCTGCCTTAGCTGGGCATCGCCTATCTTACAGCTTGAACAGATAAATTTTGACCATATCATAGTTTGGCTGTGGGTTCTGGGAAGGTCTTGGAGAAATTTAAAAACTAAAGGCTCATTGATTCATTTATTTCTTAAACAATGTAGATTAACGATTAAGAAATTTCCATCTTTAAAGAGCTATCAGTGACTAGTAGAGGAATCCCGAATCTGCTTCTAGCATAGCAGTGCTCTTTGAAACATTCAGAAACGCAGGAACGATTGAACTTTTTTCTTGATTCATGTGAGTGTGCGGTAGTCATCATACATATTCAAGCCACCTTTTATGCTGACATTGCATTCTGAAGTTTGTTTTCACAGGTGACCTCCACAACATTTGACGACTGTGGCCTGTGCCTTACTTGGCATTCTTCCCTCTCTAGACACCAGGGCTGGCTTTGGGAGTTCCTTTAAGTGGGTTCCATAGCCACACCTACAATCTGACTAGCAATACACACCCTTTTCACTTGGTTAAAGTCTCCGCCATCATTGTTTCCTCCCATGCCTGGGGAAGGCATCTCTAGGGCAAGCTCTAGGGCTTCCTTCGTTCTTCCTAGCGTGAAGGACGCGCGGCCTGGGTTGCTGTGCCATTAGCTGCACCGGCCTTGCCCCGCCTTCAGCCACCATGCCAGCACTGCCCCTGGCTCCGAGCAGGTGGACAAGCAGGTGGGTGGATAAAACTTGCAGCGGGAAAGCGGCCGGCGTGGCTAACCCTGTCTCAGGATCCTTCCGGTTTGGAGCGGCCGGCGACGGACGCCGCTGAGGGAGGCAGAGAGGCCGAGGCGGCGGCTCAGCGAGGGCAGAACAGCGCCGAGCACCTGGGAGGCGCGCACACGCCCCGCACGCGGCGCTCTTGACTCCACCCGGCCACCGTCGCTCCCCGCGACGCGCGCCCGTGACCCGGAAGAGCATTCTCCTTAGCAACTGAGGGTCCGCGGCGCCGGCGCCGGCCTCCGAGAGCGACGGTGAGGCCTCCTCCGCCCCTCCCCCGCGCTCGTCCCCTCGGCCCCGACCCACGGCCCGTCCTCCCTCCCGGGGCGCCACGGCGGCGGCCTGGGGCCGGCGTGCCCCGCCCGTCCCCGGCGTTCCCCCGGGCCCTGGCGTCGCCGCTGCCCACCTCACGCCCCCTGCGGCCCGGCCTGCCGGGGCCGCTCCTGGCGCCTGGCCCGGCGGGGCCGCCCTGGTGGCTCCGTTGGGTGTGAGAGGATGGAGGCGGCGTTGGAGCCTGCTGCGTTTGTAGCCTGGAGGACGGCTCCCGGGGCGTCCTCCGGGGTCTCCCCCGGGGCCCGGCAGGCACGGCGCCCCGGGGCCGGGGACAACGGCCGCCCTAGCGCAGCCCTTGACGTGTGCTCGGTGCCTGGCGCGGCCGCGGAGCCGTGCGCGCTCTCCGCCTCCTCCACCGCAGGGACCCATTTAATTGTACGCGTTCGAGCCGCTCAGCTTCCGGCGGACTCGCCTGCCACATTGGGTGTGAGGTGTGGCTAAGGTTCCAGTCACTTGACTTTGGGTTCCTACCGCTTTTTAGATGTGCAAGAAACTCTTCTTGGGACCGATTAGGAGATGGGAAAGATTTCAAGAGAATTTGTTACGGGGAAGTAGGAGGAGCAGGTGTCAGAGTTCCGCTTGAAAATACACTGTGACACTGCAAACCTACCTCGAGTTTGGCGCAGTGGTAACTAGGAAAACCTTAGACTTCATGTAACTAGATGATGACCACATTTAACTAATGACATGGAGTGGGAACATGTATCTTGGAAATGACATTTAGAAATAAAATGCAAGAGTTTATATACCAAAACCCATTGTTCAAAAACTGTAATAATTGTTATTTTTCTTTTGAAGCAGGTTCTCAAGATCAATCTGTCTTGTCTGTCTGTCTGTCTGTCTCTATCTATCTATCTCCAAAGTTAGGCTCAAACTTGCTCTATAGCCCATGCTGGCTTAAGGTAGGAATTTTACCTTAGCTCTCCCTGGGATTATAGGTGTGTGCTATCACACTGTATCACAATGTATAATTTCATTTCAGTCAGTAAGTGTTAAGTGTCTATGTTATTATATGCGCCCAAAATGATATAGAAGAAATGAAAGATTGCACACTTTACATCATCAGGAAAGCAATAAGGTGACAGCGGTTAAAATGCAAACTGTATGGTAGATATTAAGTACTGTAGTAGGTCAGAAGGTGGAAAAGTCATTATGGACTGGGGTTTCAGGGATATCTTTATGGATTAAATGAGACTTGATTTTTCTTCAGAGTATAGATACAATCTGCACTTACACCAGAGGGGTTTTGGAGGGCTAAATTAGGTGTTTTTGGTGTATACTTGTACTGGGGTTTGAACTGGGTGTCTGGGTACTGTCTCTTGGCTCTTTTGCTCAAGTCCCATAGACTTTCAGCCTGAGCTGGCTTTAAATTGTCATAGTCAGATATCAGCCTCCTGAGTTGCTCGGATTGCAGGCGTGAGCCTGTAATTAGTCCCACTAATTTTCTTAAAATTTTTAGGGTTTGGAAATAGTTTCATGTGACATTTTCTTTCTGTTTTTTTTTTTTGGGGGGGGGGAATTTATTGTTATTATAAAGGTGATGTACAGAGGGATTACAATTACATGAGTCAAGTAATGAGTACTTTCCCTTTTGTACAATATCTTCTGTACCCTCACTCTCTTCCATTTCCTCTCTCCTGTCTCCACCTACAAGTTGAATAGTTGACATTTTCTTATTTTAATCTTTAAGGCCATTTGGTTTCTGATCTATTTATTTTTAAATACTCTCAGTATAAATCTCTGTGGCATTTTTTCCCCCATGTTTGTGATCAAGGATAATGGGGCTACTAGCAGGGGATTTGCACCTTAGAGATGGTTTGCTTCTGCATTTGAACCACAGCAGTATAAGTAGAATTAGTTGTTATTACATATGTGCTTAAAACTCTTGTGCATGTTAACTTGACTGACATTTCCTGAGTTCAGTTACGTAGTAGACGCCCAGTCAGGAGATATCAAAACCAAATTACTCAGCAACCAGTAGCTGTGCTTTATCATAGGAGCATGCGTGCGTGTATGGGTATGGGGGGAGGGGAATTATCTTACCTGTCTGATGTTCAGTGTTTGTTTTGAGACACAGAAAAGCCAGACTAGCTATTTTTAAGGCTCCTTTTCTTTGTGAATCCACCAAAGATACATTTATGAGGATGTACAACATTAGTTACACAGAGGAGGATTTCGTTGTTATATCTCCATACATGTTTATAATACGTTCCAGTCAGTCTCACACCTATCACTCTCTCTCCCTTCTTCCTAAAACAATTTCAATTGACCATATGAGAATACACACATTCTTAAGACCTCTTAAAATGTTTTGTTGCTTTCTTACAGATTTCATGTTCATTTCTTATTTGAGGGCTCTTTTGGTACCAGGCACTGTGGTTGGCCTTGGAATTAGGAAGAATGAAGACATGGTCTCTGTCCTCAGCAGATGATAATCAAAGAATTTACACCAATGTTCACTTGCCTCTGTGACAAACATTTTGGCTAGGGAATCACCGAAGGGAATTGGGACTGAGATCTGCAGGATGCACAGGCAAGGCAGTGTTCCAGCCAGAGCAGTTAGTGGGGCAGAAACTCTTTCATGTCCAGTTCATAGAGAAGACGAGGGATTCAGGATACAGTCTTGTATATGGAGCTGGAAGAGTGTAGAAGAATCTGGTGGGAGAGAGAGCTATGCTGAGAGGTGGATGGGGGTTACCTGGTGCCAGGCCTTAGCGTCAAGTTGAGTTTTTTATTCTACTATAGAAGCTACTATAAAAGTTCTATTTGGAGGCTTAGGCTGGATTTGGGTGAGGATGAATAGCTTGCTTTGTATTTCTACCACTGCTTAGTATTTGTATTGTTTTCTCAGCCTATTTCCTCAGCTTTGTTACAGTGGAAACTTCCATGTCTCATTATCAAGATGTATTTAGTTTAATTTTAGGAATTAAGATTGTTCCATAGGAGTTACTTGAGTTGAAATACTGCAACATAGTAATTCTCTTTATTCCCTTCCCTCATTTCTTTTGGTGTTGATAGTGGGGCTTCAAATCAGGTCTAGGCATTGTCCCTTAGCTTTTTTACTCAAGGCTGGTGCTCTACCACTTGGCCACATCTCCACTTCTGGCTTTTTGGTGGCAAATTAGAGATAAGAGCCTTACAGACTTTTCCTGCCTAATGTGGCTTCAAACCATGATTCTTAGATCTCAGCCTCGTGAGTATCAGCTAGGACTACAGGTGAGAATGAATGGTGCCTGAATTATATGAACTACTCTCTAGATGATTGTTAAGCCTGTTTGCTGTATGGCACTGTTTAAATCTGAGGTTTGTTTTTAAATTGACTTTTTTTTAAATGTCAGAATGATGTGTCTGTTGATGAAATGGGAGTATTGAGGTCCAAATACTGTGCTTGGATCTGTTCTTTTATGTCCAGTAGTATTTTTTTTTTTATAACATCAAGTATATAAACAATTTGGTACATAAGAATTTAAAATTGTTATGATCTTCTTGATAAAGTGTTCCCTTATTAATAGGTAGTTCTGTTATTTGTCTTTTTTTTTTTTTTTTGCCAGTACTGGTGCTTGAACTCAGGGCTTGGGTGCTTTCCCTGAGCTTTTTTTTTTTTTTTTTTGGGTCCGGTCATGGGGCCTGAACTCTGGGCCTGGGCGCTGTCCCTCAGCTCTTCAGCTCAAGGCTAGCGCTCTACCACTGGAGCCACAGCACCACTTCCGGCCTTTTTCTTTTTGCTTATGTGGTGCTGAGGAATCGAACCCAGGGCCTCGAGCATGCAAGGCAAGCGCTCTACCACTGAGCCACCTTCCCAGCCCCTCCCTGAGCTTTTTTTAATTTTAATTTTTTTATTTATTTTATTTATTTATTTTTTTTGGGTCCAGTCATGGGGCCTGAACTCTGGGCCTGGGTGCTGTCCGTCAGCTCTTCAGCTCAAGGCTAGCACTCTACCACTTGAGTCACAGCGCCACTTCTGGCTTTTTTCTTTTTGCTTACGTGGTGCTGAGGAATCGAACCCAGGGCCTCTGGCATGCAAGGCATGCGCTCTACCACTGAGCCACCTTCCCAGCCCTAATTTTTATTTTTTAAACTTTTTATTTTTTTTTTGCCGGTTGTGGGGCCTGTACTTTTGGCCGGGGTGTGGTCCTTCAGCTCTTCAAGGCTAGCACTCTACCACTTGAACCACAGTGCCACTTCCGGCTTTTTTTTTCCTGCTTATGTGGTGCTGAGGAATCGAACCCAGGGCCTCATGCATGCAAGGCAAGCACTCTATCACTGAGCCACCTTCCCAGCCCTCCCTGAGCTTCTTTTACTCAAGGCTATCAGTCTACTACTGAAGCCACAGCACCACTTCCGGCTTTTTCTGTTTATGTGGTACTGAAGAATCAAACCCAGGGCTTCACTTATGCTAGGCAAGCATTCTACCACTAAGCCACATTCCTAGCTCTCTTATTTATCTTAAAAAAAATTCTTTATCTTCTTTATTCTCACTAAAGTTGGGCTGAAGTCTTTCAGATATGAGTATAGCTACTACTGCCATATTTGGCTTCCATTTACTGCTATGCCCTTTCCATCCTTCCATTTTCAGTCTGTGTATATCTTTGCTAGTGAGAGATGTTTCTTAAATAAAAATAATAGTGTCATCAAATAAATAAAATGTATTTTTTTCTTTATTACTGAATGTAGTATTTCCTCAGTCCAATCTTCTGTCCTGGTAGTCTTCCTCTTCTTGATCCTACTGGTCATGCTCTCTACTGCTTTTTTAAACTTTGATTTATTGAAGTGTTTTCCAACAATTCCATTGTCTTCCCCCATTCCCAAATCTCAATTTCCCTGCTGGATTTCTCATCTGTGTTGACTTTTTTGTTCAGGTCTTGAATTAACTTTTCCTTTCTTCCTTCCTTCCTTCCTTCCTTTTTTCTTTCTTTCTCTC